TTGCCCTTTTCTCAATGCCTTTTTGCCCAGCATTACATTATTGCCTGTCTTTTTGGTTAAAAGCCGATTTTAAGAGAGTTGAGATGATGTCTCATTTGTTAGTTTTGGTTTGCATTTCTGCTAGATGGTCAATGATGTTGGAGCGATCTTTTCCATATACCTGGTTTGCCACTTTTGTATATGCGTTCTTTTGAGAAATATCTTATGTAAGATCTTTTGCCCATTTTAAAATCAGATTATTTAGATATTCTTCCTATTGAGGTTGTTTGAGCTCCTCGTATATTTTTGGGTTGATTAATTCGTTATCAGATACATAGTTCTGCATATATTTTCTCCCATTCTGAGGGCTGTTTCTTTGGTTGATTGTTTCCTTTAGCTTTGCAGGAAGCTTTTTAACTTGATGTTGATCCCATTTGTCCATTTTTTTTTACCTTTTGATTGCCTGGTGCTTTTTGGGGTATTACTTAAGAAATCTTTGCCCAGACCAATGTCCTGGACAAGTTTCGCAAGTTTTTCTTTTAGTTTAGTGTTCATACTTTTTTCAGATCTTAAGATTTAGTCGTTTAATTCATGTTTGATTGATTTTGTATATGGTGATGAGAGAGGGGTCTGGTTTCATTCTCTGCGTATGGATATCCCAGCTTTCCCAGCCCCATTTATTTGAAGAAGACTGTCTTTTCCTAGATGTGTTTTTATTGGCACCTTTGTTTGAAAAATTGATTCACTGTTTAGATGCGTAGATTTATTTTTATTCTTTCTGCCATTATCTGTGTATGTGGTGGGGGTATGTGTATGCAGTACCATGCTGTTTTTTAGTATAGCTCTGTAGCACAGTTTGAGTCAGTGGTATGGTTTTTGCTTTTAGTGTAGCTTTGTAGTACAATTCGAAAGTCAGTGATATGGTTTTTGGCTGGTGTCCCCATCCAAAATCTCATCTTGGAATTATATCCCCATAATCCCCCATGTGTCCTTTTTTTCCTCTTCAAATGGGACCACCGGTGATAATAACTTTTTTAATTTACTGGCATATAATTTCTCATAATGGCCTCTAATGGATCCTTTAAATTTCTGCAGTATCAGTTGTAATGTCTCCTTTTTCATCTCTGATTTTATTTATTTGGGTTTTCTCTCTCTTTATCTTAGTGAGTCTGGCTAATAGTTTGTCAATTTTGTTTAACTTTTCAGAAGAACAACTTTTTGTTTCATTGGTATTTTCTATTTTTTTATTTTAATGTGATTTATTTCCTGCTCTTGTTTTTACTATTTCTTCTATGAATTTTGGGTTTGATTTGCTCTTGCTTTTCTAGTTTTCTAAGATGCATCTTTAGGTTGTTTATTTGAATTTTTTTTCTTTTTAAAAATTTTTTGACATAGACACTTACTGCTGCAAACTTTTCTCTTAGTACTGCTTTTGCTGTATCCCATAGGTCTTGGTATGTTATGTTTCAATTTTCATTTGTTTCAAGGAATTTTCTTAATTTCTTCATTGAGCCACTGGTCATTCAGAGGCATATTGTTTGTATAGTTTCCAAAGTTCCTCTTGTTATTGACTTTTGATTTTATTCCATTGTAGTCAGAGAAGATACTTGATATGATTTCAAAAGTTTTGAATTTTTAAAGATGTATTTTGTAGCCTAACATATGGTCCATTCTTGAGAATGATCTATGTGGTGAAGAGAAGAATGTGTATTCTTCAGCCGTTGGATGAAACGTTCTGTAAATATCTATTAGGTCCATTTGGTCTTTAGTTTAGATAAGGTCTGATATTTTTTGGTTGATTTTCTGTCTGGATGATCTTTTCAGTGTTGAAAGTGGGATGTTGAAATCTCCAACTATTGCTGTATTGGTTGTCTATCTCTCTGTTTAGCCCTAATAATATTTGTTTTATATATCTGGGTGCTTCAGTGTTGGGAGCACATGTATTTACAATTGTTACATCTTGATGAATTGATCCCTTTTATATCATGACCTTCTTTGTTTTTGTCTTGAAATTTATTTTATCTAATATAATTATAGCTATTCCTGATCTTTTTTGGTTTCCATTTGCATGGAATATCTTTTATCATCCTTTTCAGTGTTTACGTGTTTTTACAGGTGAAATGTGTTTTTTCACCTGTTTTACAGGTGAAATGTAGGTCTCACCCAAGGCCTATTGGTGAGAGTCCTGAGAGTCTTGATGTTTATTCAAGCCCCAAGGACTATTTAGTGAGAAAATGATGAATCCTGCCAGGACTAGGTCTTCCCCTTCAGTGAAGCAGTTCCCTTCTGGCCTAGGGTGGGTTTAGAAGTGCCATTGAAGGGTGAGGGCCTGGGGTCAGGGGTTTTAGGAATTTGTTTGGTGCTTTATTTTACTGGGGCTAAACTGGTACCCAGATTGCAAGACTAAGTCCTCTCTGCTTTTCCCCTTTCTTTCCTCAAGCAGAAGGGCTGTCTGCTCATGGGCACCACTGCCCCAGGCCAGTGGTGACTATACCCTGACTACCACTGATGTTTATTCAAGGCCCAAGGGGTTTTTAGTCAGCAGTTGGTGAGTCCTACCAAGCCTGGTTCTCTCCCATCAGAGCTGCAGGTTCCTTTCTGGCCCAGGATGGGTCTAGAAATGCCCTCCAAGAGCTAAGGTCTAGAATCAGGGACTTTAGGAGTCTGCTTGGTACACTTTATTTGACTGTGGCTGAGCTGGATACCCAAGTGTATTATTAGTCCATTCTCACACTGCTATAACAATACTACCCTTTAAAATGTAATTTATAAAGGAAAGAGGTTTAATTGACTCACAGTTCCGCATGCTCGGGAAGGCCTCAGGAAACTTAGAATCATGGTGGAAGGTGAAGGGGAAGCAAAGACCTTCACATGGTGGCAGGAGAGAGAAATGCAAGCAGGGGAAACACCAGACGCTTGCAAAACCATCAGATCTTGTGAAAACTCATTCACTATTATGAGAACAACGTGGGGGAAACCACCTCCATGATCCAATCACCTCCCACTAGGTCACTCCCTCAGCACCTGGGGATTACAATTCAAGATGAGATTTGGGTGGGGACACAAAGCCTAACCATATCACCAAGTTGCAAGACAAAGTCATGTTTACTCTTCCTCCTCCTTTTCTCGAGCAGAAGGTGTCTCTCACTGTGGCCACCACAGGTGGAAATGTGCTGGGTCACACCTGAAGCCAGCACAATACTGGGCTTGCCCAAGGTCGTGGTGACTACTGACTGGCTACCACTGATGTTTATTCAAGGCCCAAGGGTTCTTTAGTCAGCAGGTGGTGAATCTGCCAGGATTGCAACCTTTCCTTCAGGGCAGTGGGTTCTCTTCTGGCCCAGTGTCGGTCTAAAAATGTTATCTGGGAGACAGCGCCAGGAGTGGGGGCTTTAGGACTCTGCTTGGTGCTTTATTTTACAGTGGCTGAGCTGGTATCCAAGTTGCAAGACAAAGTACTCTTTGCTCTTCCCTCTTATCCTGGAGCTGTGAGCTGTACTGCCTGAAGTTGGGGGAGGGACGATGCAAGCACTCCCTTGGCCACCCCAGCTGGTGTCTCACTGCATCTTGTGCACCCTGAATCCACTGGCTGTGAGCCCTGCACAGTACCAGGACTTGCTGGGGAATTGCGGTCCTTGTGGACTAGACTGCCTTTCAAATTCATTAGGACCCCAGAGTGCTTTAGCCAATGATGGTGGGCCTAGCTGGAAGTCAGGTTCTGACTGCTGGGATGGACAATTCCCCTCTGGCTAGGGCTTGTCTAAATGCTCCCTCTGTGGCCACTGGCCAAATTCTGCCCTGTGTTGCTTTCCACTATGTTAGGGGAGCAGGGATTTCCAATGCAAAGTCCCCCAATCACTTTGCTGTCCTTCCCCACAAGTGCATAGATTCTCTCTTCCTGCCACACTGCCTGACGATGAGAGAGACGTGGTATAGGCAATTCAAGATCGTCTTTCCTACTCTCTTCAGTACCTCTTTCCTTGATGTGATGTTAAAACTAGGCACTATGATTGCTCACCTGATTTTTGGGTCTTATGAAGGTGCTTCTTATGTGGATAGTTGTTCAATTTGTTGTTCCTGCAGTGCAGATGATTGCTGGAGGATTCTATTCAGCCATCTTGCTTTACCTCCTAAGAGAGAATAATTTCACCATATATAAAGAGCTCATACAAATTGATAAAAAGGTGAAATTTAAGAAAGCAAGCAAAATATGTGAACTGGCATTTTAAAGGAGACGATGTTCAAAGGACTGATGAATATTTGAAAAGATACAAGAATACATAATGATAATAAGAACACATAGACATAGGGCGGGGCATATCACATGCCTGTTGGAGGGTTGGGGGCTAGGGGAGGGATAGCATTGGGAGAAATACCTAATGCAAATGATGAGTTGATGGGTGCAGCAAACCAACATGGCACGTGTATACCTATGTGACAAACCTGCGTGTTGTGCACATGTACCCTAGAACTTAAAGTATAATAATAATAATAATAATAATAATAATAATAATAAAAGATGTTCAATGACAAAACAAGATGCAAGTTTAACCCTCCCTGCTTTTTTTGCAGATGTCAGAAGAGATGGATAATGTTACAGCTGAAGAAATTACAGACAAGCATCTCCAAAAAGGTTCTCAATAAGTATACCATAACTCTGATACTCTTCATTTTTATTTTTAAAAGATGTAAATGATTAATCCTGTGCCAGGGTTTCAGCTGGGAACACAAATTTCCTAAGGAATCAGTTTAAAGAGAAATTAAACGTCCTAAATAAAACAAGATGGGCATAAGGAAATACATAGAAAAATCAATGGATGTAATAAAGCTGAATTTAATTTTCTTTTTGTCACTGCACACGTAGAGAGATTCCACTGGCGGTGAGACTGTTTTAGACCACAAAGATACATAGGTGCAGAACCTGCTTCAGCAAACTTCAAATCTCAGGGAGAAAAATACATAAATAATGGTTGAGCTCTGGTTCATTCACCAAGCAAATATTTATTGAGCATGTATTATATGCCATCTGCCATTCTAAGTTATGGGAATAGAGTATAAACAAAACCAACTAGTCATTTTTAAATTTTACCAAGAAATACTGTGGTTAAACATGGAGATTCTCATGACCTATAGTTAGTTAGTTAGCTTTATGCTTACCCTTTATTTCTACAAACTTCTCTGTAACCTTTAAGCACTCAAAGGCAGGGAATAGAAAAAGTAAAAAGCAAGGCAAAGTGGTCAATAGATCCTTAATTTTTTACTGTACCTAGGGGATTGCATGATCTTGCATGATCTCTTTTATTCCATCCAGTGAAGGAGCAGAAAATAACACATGACTTGGAGTACACACAAGGGCTTCAGACTTTTTTTTTTTTTTTTTTTTAAGAAACAGAGCCTTGCTCTGCTGCCTAAGGCTGGAGTGCAGTAGTGCAGTCATAGCTCACTGCGGCCTTAGACTTCTGGGCTCAAGCGATGGTCCCACCTCAGCCTCTCAAGTAGCTGGGACTACAGGCATGTATGTTAATTTTTTTTTTTTTTTTTTTTTGAGACGGAGTTTTGCTCTTGTTGCTCAGACTGGAGTGCAATGGCGCGATCTTGGCTCACCGCAATCTCCGCCTCCTGGGTTCAAGTGGTTCTCCTGCCTCAGCCTCCCGAGTAGCTGGGATTACAGGCATGTGCCACCATGCCCAGCTAATTTTGTATTTTTAGTAGAGATGGAGTTTCTCCATGTTGGTCAGTCTGGTCTCAAACTCCTGACCTCAGGTGATCTGCCCACCTCGGCCTCCCAAAGTGCTGGGATTACAGGCGTGAGCCACTGTGCCTCGCCCCTCAATTTTTTTTTGTAGAGACAGAGTCTTGCTATGTTGCCCAAGCTGGTCTCAAATTCCTGGCCTGAAGCAATCCTCCTGCCTCGGCCTCCCAAAATGCTGAGATTGCAGGCATAAGCCTTCTTTATACCCTATAAAACTTTCCTTTTCTCTGATAGTTGCAGAAAGCAGGGGTGAGAATTTTGTAATGATTTTACAAAACTAACATAATTAAAATGGGCATCCAGAGACTTACCGCTCTTCTTTTTTAGATTCCTCTCTTTTCAGTTTAATAAAGTTGAAGTAACCAGGCTTTGATATTTGTGTATTAGTATACTCCACAGAGATGTCTCACAGATTTTTAAAATCTGAGCTTTGTTTTTGTTTTGTTTTAGATACTTAAGACCAATAGAGTCCTTTCCCCTTTCCATCTGGAATAATACCTTCACCCCTTCAGCACTGATTTTTGTTTTTCTTTTGTGACACACTTTCTATCCTCTGTCACTTTCTTTTAAACTTTTTTTTTTTTTTTTGGATACAGAGTTTTGCTCTTGTCACCCAGGCCGGAGTGCCATGGCACCATCTTGCTCGCTGCACCTCCACTCCGGTTCAAGCGATTCTCCTGCCTCAGCTCCCAAGTAGCTGGGATACAGGCGGCGCCACCGCCACCTGGCTAACTTTCTTTTTGTATTTTTAGTAGAGATGGGTTTCGCCATGTTGGCCAGGATGGTTTTAAACTCCTGACCTCAGGTGATCCACCCACCTCAGCCCTCCCAAGTGCTGGGATTACACGCATGGCCACGGCACTCAGCCCTCTGTTTAAATTTTAATTATGTGGGTACATAGTAGGGTCTTCTGCACCTTCTTTGTTGCTTCCTCAGCTACTGGCCAGAGCCCATCTTTGGCCAAAACAAAACAAACAAAAC